GCGCCGCAGCCCCATCACAGCCCCAGGCGGGCCCGGGAAGGCGGCCCTGCCCGTGCACCAACAAGGGCCCCGCTGTTTGGGGCCGCAGCTGCGCCGCAGAAGTAAACAGGGTCCCTGCCAGCACATTCCTGCCTGGCCCCTCCTGCCTGCACCCCCCACCCACCCGTGGGGGACACCCACCACCTGGGAGGGGCGGACATCCCCACGGTGGCAGGGACCAGGCCCGGCAGCCCCCAGCATGCACACCCTCCCCTGGCACGCAGGGGCACGGAGAGCCACAGCCTGGCCAGGCAAATAAAATAAATGGTATTTATTAGCAAAATAAAGGACGGAAACTCTTGCTCGCAAGGCCCTGCCAGGTGGCCCGGGCCGCCCCACATGGCCCCACACGCTTGCTGCTGAGCTGCCCCTGTCCCGCCAGCTGCTCCCACCGCAGCAGGCAGTGCAGGGGTTCCTGCCCCGGGCAGGGCAGGCAGCGTTGCCCGACGGCAACAGCATCCGCACAGCCCCGACCGGCCTGCGCACGCCCTGCTCAGCCTCTTCAGCGGAGCAGCCCAGTGCTTTGGGACGCGGTGCAGGATCCGCCCCTGCTCTGAGATGCAGGGTGCCCTGCCTGCCCGCAGAGAGGAGCCTGGGCACCCCCGGGATTTCCCAGCAGGGGTAAGGTGCAGCCTCCAGACTCACTCCCGGCCCTCCCAGGCATCCTCCCGCTGCTTGTTCTCCAGGCGCTTCCTCTCTGCAGAGAGAAGAGGAGGGTCAACCCCAGGTCCCCATCACGCCACAGCCACCTACTTCCCTGCAGGGGAGGACAGAGCCCACCCTGGCACAGCCCACTCCCACCCAGCACCGTGGGAGAAGGTGCATCCACAGGGAGGGTGCCCCCCCACCGCAGCCCCCCAGGCATCCAAATCTCACCCCGAGCTTCTTGCAGCTTCCTCCGCTCAGCATCTCGCTGGGCTGGCGTCTGTTTGCTGCGTACCCCCAGGGCGCCGATCACCAGCCGCCTGGCCAGGGCGGCCGACGTTTCGGGGCGCTCCTTGGCTGGCTGCAGGTAGTCTAGGTGAGCGGAGATGGGGAACATCAGTAGGGGCATCCCGGGAGGGACAGGGTAGTTGGCACAGCTCCGCAGTGCTTAACCGTCCCCATCCCTCCCCAGTCATTGGGATGAAGATGCTGCAGCACAAGCACCGTGGCACAAGCCGGCACAGGGCAGCATCACTCACCAGCATACGCCCTGGCTTTGGCTTTAGAGGCGCGGGTGCCCTGGGAGAGGGGGCGAGTCTTCACCATCAGGTGCTTGGTGCTGAGGGCATCATGTGCTGCGGGGAGAGAGCAGTGGCGTCTGCGTGCAGGGTCAGCCCCATGCCCGGGATCCGGCTGCAGGAGAGGCAGGGGCACCCCTGCCCATCCCCAGCTGAACTGGGAGCAATACCTGTTATGGGGCTGGAGAAGATGCCCAGGGCGTGCGTATCATCCACCCACTTAATATCAAAGCCTTTTTTCCTGCCAGAGAGAGCGAAGCTCAGCAAGGCATCAGCACCGGGTGGGCCGGGGTCCAGAGCAGAGCCCAGGCAGCAGGGGAACCCAGAGCTGGGGATGGGGCATTGCTTGCAGACTCACTGATAGCTGCAGAAGACACGCAGCAGGTCCTCGGTGCGGAAATCCGAGGGGAAATCATAGATCTCGATGACATGGGGCAGCTCGGCATCGCTGAGGTCTGGTGCAGCAGGCTCGGCACCGTAGTAGTCAAAGCGGGGTGACTGCCTGCTCTCCCGGCGCTTCTCGCCCCCCGAGAGCTGCAGGGGTGGGAGAGGCACAGCACTGAGCTACCCATTCCCACCCGCCCCACACAAGCTCCCGGTCCATAGCAAGCGCTCCGGCCCCCACTCCCTGCCCCAGCACTGCAGATGGATTCATGGTGCTGAGATATTAGGAGTTATCGACCGGGGCTCTCACGCCACGCACTTGCTTTTCCCATTACCCGCATCCCTTCGCTTGCTGCGCTATGCGGTCCCGCCGGGGACGTGGTGGGAATGGCACCGGTGAGACAGCATGTGCACCCCCAAGCACACCCCTCCTTCCACAGCGACGTGCTGACCCAAAATACATTTGGGGAACAACAAGGAGCAGGAGAGCAAGGTCAGGAGAAAAGACTGATGCCTGCCCACCACATGGGAGCATGGGGCTTGGCATGCCCCGGCTGTAGCACACACCAGAGCAGCCCGTTGGTGCCCCGGACGCCGATATGGAAAACCCAGCACTCCCCTGCGGAGCAAGTTCTGGTGGTTAATCACCTGCGTGGCTAAAAATTTATGCCTTATTTCTCATTTGAATTTGTCTGGCTTCGCTTTCCAGCCAGCGGTTCTTGTTCTGCCTCTCCACTGGATTAGAGAGCCCTCGGTCCCCGGTACCCTCGCTGTGATGGCACTTACTCATGCTAATCAAGTCCCTTCTCAATCTCCTGCTTGATAAGCTAAACGGGTTGTGCGCCATTAGTATCTCACAGTGGGGTACTTTCTCCAGCCCTAGAAGATGACGGCTGTAGCGCTTTTTACCTCTCCCATCTTTCAACCTTCCTTTTAAAACACGGGCAGCAGTCACCCACAACATGGGGGCACAGCCGCCCCCTGCTCCCCTCCACCCCACAGCATCGGTGCTGGTGGGCACCACTTGCCACACCTCTGCTTCCCAAACCACACCATGCCAACAGCTGTGGGGATTCACAGCCCCACTCAGACTGCAAGTCCAGGCCAGGCACAGCCTGAAGCTGGCGGGGGCTCCCCCATCCCCCCCGGAGCGTGGGGCCAGCATGGTGCTGGGGAGCGGGTACATAATTCAGCCGGGTTCCCAGCCCGATCCCCCAAGTGATCGTAGCAGAGCACACCACGGCTGGAAGGTTAGAGTCCATAAATCCCAGCCAGCTCAGTCAATAAAAAGTGCTCATTCCGACAATTTTATGGGGAAGATGGATTCACGGCAGGTGAGGGGGTGCTGCCGGGGCGGCTGGATGCCGGCGGAGGGGAGAGCTGAGTTATGGAGCTCACGGGACAGGCTAGCACTGCCGGCAGAGCCACCCGCCCCGCCACCGTCACCCATTAACCGAGCACACCCCGTGTGGGGCTGCACCCTCATCCAGCACCCCCTGCCCGCTCAGGGCACACAAAGGAGCTGTCCCCGGGCAGGATGAAGCCCTGCGGCACCGCTTGAGGGAGCAGAGCGCTCAGGTAGTACCAGGCGCTGGGAAGATGATTAGAGAGCGGGCGCGCCGAGTGCTGGAGCGGTCCCTGACCTTCACAAATCACCAAGTGTGGCGGGGGGGCCCCAGTGCCGGGGAGGGTCCGTGGATGGCCGAACAGATGGACGGCAGAGACAGAAGGCCGTGGGAAACGAAGCCTGTCCATCATGCCTCGCTGCTCTCTAAAGATGCATCCTCACCAGAGCATGTTACAGGGGTCTGCGGCCGCTCGCTTACGCTCCCGCTTGCTCTCCGAGAGCGCATCTCCAGAGCTGGAGGGGAGGCGTGCGCCGGCACGCACGCACCCTGGCCCCCGGCACACACGCACCGCAGCCCCCGGCACGCCACGCCGGCGGGGGGAGAGCCCACCGAGCCTGCAAGGAAATGGTTGCAGTCCTTAATTACCCTCTGCGTTCAAACTGATTTCTACTCTGAATTTGTCTGGTTTCAGGTTCCAGCCAATGGATCTCGCTATGGTGTTTTTTCCTGCTAGATTAAAGAGCGGTCCGCTATCAGAAATCTCTCCTCCACACAGAACGTCATAAATCTTGCTCTCTGCTGGCTATCCGCAGCGCATAAGGATTCGGTTACAAGGAAGAACGCTACTAATTTTCTTGTCCTTTTTGTTAATTAACAACAGCTCCATCTCCCCTAGAGCCTGCACCCTCCCTGAGTAGCCGTGTCTGCCTGCCGAGAGCTCAGAGGGCTCAGGAAGCACCGGGCTCGGCATGGGAATCTGCAGGGGGGTGAAGATGGCAACTTTTAATTGATAAACCCCCTTTTCAGGCTCTAATTCACCCATTTGTAGAAGCTCCCTGGAAAGCTCAAACTTTGCTCGGAGCTTGTGCACAGGGGAGCTAACGCGGATGCTCCAGAGCTGGTTAGCACCAGTGCTGCATGGCACAACCTTGCCCACAGCATCCTCCGGCTGCACCGTAACACCGGCCCTCCCTGACCTGCCTCCCCAGCGGGGCCGGGCAGCCGCTCCGCTGTGCCCCAGGACAAAGCTGTGGCCACCGTGCCAGCCCACAGATAGCCAGTGCCAGCGCCACGCGTGCTAGCTGCCGTCGGAGCAGCAGTGCCGTCCCGCTCACACCAGCACTCACCACAACCTCCTGGCTGGAGGGTGGGGGACCGCAGCTGGGGGGAGCACAGGCAGGCAGGGATGGGGGTACCCAAAGCCCCCCCCTATATGTCCCTCCGAGCAGCCCTGGAGGCGACCCCTCCGTGCCCCATACCCTGTCCCAGCCCCATGCCAGGCTTGGCAAGGGCACACCAGCCCGAGCATGGCCCCACGGATGCGGTGGGGACCAGCGCTCTTCAGTAACAATGCTCTTGAGTTAACTTCACCCTTTCCTAGAAGCTGTTATCAGGCACCATCCGCCACTTCACACCCTGCTTCCAGCCCAGGGTGGACGGACACTGGCTGTAACAATATTAGCGCTGTTTGTTACTTTGGGCACATTAATGTCATTTGGAAAATTACCGTTTTGACGCTACTGATTTAAAATGCAATAAGGGATATCCAGCCTTGCTGCAGAAGCCGAGGTTTCCTTACAAACAGCAGGAAAACAGCGTCGGTCCGGGTGCTAAGCAGCTAATTGTAGTAAATTCAGCCACACATGTGCAGGAGGGGATGGTAATGAGCCACAGCTGATTAAGAAGCTGTAGTTTCGAGGAAACATCCCGTTGCTATTTCAATGAGAGCCCATACATCTCAGCCCATTTCTTTATCACCAGCCCCAGTTTCACAAGGGTGCAGTTGCGGTTTACGGCGCTCGAGCAGGTTTTCCTGGGTGCGCTTTATGTACTATAGAGGGAAGATCTTCACCAGCACCGTGGGACGGGAAGGGAACCAGG